CAGTGTGCTTCATCGATCTGCCTATTCTGCTCCCCGCTCTGTCTCTGGTGAAGCCTCTCGCCGCCCGTGAGCCTCTGTCTGTACCCCAGTTCTGTATGAACAAATGAATCTTTAAAAAAAAAAAAAATGGAGTCAAGTTAAAAAAAAAAATAAAAGGTGTGTGATTCCCATGGGATTCTCTCTCCAGAGCTTGAAGAGAGACAGCTGAACAAAACCACACGAGTGTAATAAGCCCAGTGCCCAGTGGCACTGGCAACTTGTGTTGCTCAGTGAATGTTTGCAGTGTCTAGTTCTCGCATTAGAACTGAAGACCTGAGATAGTTTCCCAGCAAAGCACAGCCCGACACCAGTGGTTTGCATGAAAGTGAGAATTCAGTGTTTTCCACCAAATTTCTTATTTAACCCTAAAGTTAGCTATGATATTTCAATGAAGTCTTTTAACCAGGCAGCTAAGTAGACATTAAATAGCATCACTAAGCAAAGGAAATGCTTATCATTTATATTAAACATTGTCAAATCAAGTCTATATACTTAGCATCTTGTAATTAATTATGAGAAAGTTTTTCTCTTCAGTATCTTAAAAATACATACAAAATTTCTCTATGTACCTATATAAATTAAATAACAATAGGGTACTTTGAAGTGGATGGCTTTTAGGATTTGCATATTGTAACTAATTAACAGCCACTGTAACATCATCCTAAGGGAAAGGTCTACAGGCAACTTATTCATTATCTTCTATTATTGTGGATCATATTAAAATGACAGGCATCTTACAATATACAAGTCATCAAAAATTTCGGCTATTAGAACTAAAAGCAATTTAGCTAAAACTGTTTCTATCTTCATGATGAGTGAAATTTATCCAAAGGGGACGTCAGCTTATAGTATTTCTTCAATATCTCCCTTGAATTTAATGGCACAAAGATTGCATGTAAAAGAGCAATAAATTAATTTTACTAAGTACATAAAAGACAAGGCCAGCTGCTCCCGAAATGAGCACAAACTCTGCATTCAACAATGAAAATATAATTATGTTTGTAATAAAATGGAAGGAAGTTGCAGATCTGTGTGCTGTTTTAGAAATAAATCACCTATCCTCCTACAGTCATGCAATTTAATAAATTATCCTTGAAAGAAATGTTATCAGAATCCCCACTTAATAAGCATGTTTGAGCTTTCAAATTAGCATGTAAATAAATGTATAGCTATAAAGTTGTTGATATGCCCGTTGATTTCCTCAATTCCATCTCACTAACGAAGTCTCACTTAAGATAGAGTCCATGAAACAATTCATTTCCTTTTCACTCTAGCCTGTTATGTTCTCAAGTATAAACTGCTAGGAGTTGACCTATTACACACCTGTAGAACTTCACACATCAGATTTTTTTTTTTTAAGATTTATTTGTTCATACAGAACTGGGGTACAGGCCAGAGGCTCAGGGGCGGCGAGAGGCTTCACCAAGGACAGAGTGGGGAGCAGAACAGACAGATCGACGAAGTACACTGCTGAGGGGAGGAGCGGGTAGGTCAGGAGAGGTCTGCCACGTCATGTGGTCACCTCCGGGGCAGGCGGGAATCGAACTCATGCGGAAGTGGCTTTAGCTTCTCAGTGCTGTGCTTTAACCCGCTGCGCCACACATCGGATTTTAATGAAAACTTTATCTTAATACTCAAAAAGTTTAGTACCAACCCAATTGATTTATTCCAGCACCCCTTCCTGGTTTGGGGCTTACCCGGGGTTCACTGAAGTGTGCTGTGTACAATTCTACCGCAGCTACGCATCTTCGGCCATTAATCCCAAGCTTATATCAGTTCTGTTGTCCCATCTACTCTGCCCCCATAACCTCAGCAGTGCGAGGCACCTTATTATCACTCATCAAGCTTGATTGCCTCATTGAAAAGTGAGGCCAAGAATGGCCTCCCTGGTGGGGCAGGGTTAAGTCTAGAGCTATCAAGCTATCTCTCATCACTGTGGTATGACTTGGATCCTGCACCAGGAGCTGAGGAATGTGACACAGCGGACCTCACCTGTCTCGCCTGCTGCTCCCCTCAGCAGTGTATTTCAGTGCATCCGCCTGTTCTGCTCTCCACCGTCTCTCCCCCTCCACACACACACACTTCTGGCCTACACCCCAGTTTTTGTGTGCATAAATAAATAAATCTTTTTTAAAGGACCTTCTTGCTGTCATTCACTCATCTATCACCTTTGCCTCTGCAGGATTTCTATTATTAGTAGCTGGAGTAGTTTGACCAGGTCAAGTTTTCAAGGAGGTGAGGCAGCAGTTTTAAGTAAGAACTTCCTTGGAATAGAAAGTTGTGTTGCGAACAGGTGAAGGAGAGTCAAGATAGCCTTTGTCTATACCTTTGCTCCATGAAGCATCACAATGTGCACAGGGCTCTCCCTGTCCTGTCTGTTTCCAGCTCAGTGTTCAGGTTGCCTGTGAGGATGCCCTTTTCTTTTGCACATTCTGAGACCGCTTGATGTTTAAATTTGGTGGGGTGGGCAGTGGTTGTCAGCACATGGACAAAGCAGGTAAAACAGTGCTGTGCTTGGTGCCAGAGCCGATGCATTAACTGGGGCTTTTTCATGCGTAGTTGACTCTATATACACTGATTGACACCTTTGGGGGTCATCTTTCCACTGACTCATAATTTTTCTCACTGTAGAAAAAGGTTTCTATACACCCAGTATTCTCTAGTTAAAGCTGAAAATTCAACTCATCATATTTACACAATAAAAAAAATCCATTCTGCCTTGTTTTTAATTGCAAATTCCACTCAAGGGACTAGTTCTCCTGCTTAGGCGGCAGCCCTGTGCCTTCTCCTACAGAAGCAAGTGCAGTCAATTATGGTAATGAAATGTCAATAAATATAAAAATTTAATACAGTCTGCTCCGGGTGAGTGGCAGATGAGGACTTGCCTCCCAGACAAATTTGCTGTTGCTGCAAATATTAAATGCACCTAAAAGAGTATCTGGTTGCCTGAGAGCTCTCCAGTAAAGAAAGGATGGGAGCATCAGGTACCAGCCGGGCTCTCCTATTATGCTGTCATTGCAGCACCAAAGCCAGTTCCGCCATTGACAGCCACCCCAACATCTGGACTCATTATTATAAACTGAACTTCTCATGTCCCTGGGAATAATCTAGATTAGTGCATCGCAGTGATAGGAGCAGTGACCCCTCGCTCCTTTTTTTAAATAAAGGCGAAACTAGCCCTTTTTTGCTTCCCGTTAAGTTCGTACCTGTCTTCTGGGAGGAAAGGGCTAACAATCATATGAAAATAGTAGTCATATATGAGCGCCTTTTGGGAGTTAGCAAACTAAATAATGTAAATGTTGATTCTTTCATCAGCCATCCAGCGTGCGTTTTTGAACAATGATTACGTGTAGTCACAATAAACATAGAAACATCTCTGCCTTTATTTTCCTCTTTTACTAGTTAATATTGAGTTTACAGAGTACTGTGGGTTCAGGATTCACTTTTTTTTTCTTTTTAAAAGATTTATTTATGCATACAGAACTGGGGTACAGGCCAGAGGTGCAGGGGCGGCGAGAGGATTCACAGGGACAGAGTGGGGAGAAGAACAGGAAGCTGGACAGAGAACCCTGCTGAGGGGAGCAGTGGGGCAGGTCAGGCAGGGGTGGTCCGCCACACCTGTGGGTCACCTCCGGGGCAGGATGGAACTCACATTGAAGTGACTGCGGCTGCTTACTGCTGTGCTTGAACCCACTGCTCCACCAGGGAGGGCCCAGAATTTTGTTTTTGATACCCTGCTGAGGGGAGCAGCGGGAGGGTCAGGAGAGGTTTGCTGTCCATGTGGGTCACCTCCAGGGCGGGGACTGGATTCATGCTGAAGTGGCGTTAGCTTCTTAGTGCTGTGCTTTAACCCGCTGCGCCACCAGGGAGGGCCCATCCTGGATTCAGCTTTATGGCCAGTGCACTGGCCGTTCAACGTTCATGAAAGTTAAAGACTTAAAGTATTACGTGATAACATACTTTCACAACAGGAAAAATAGACAGACAGACAGGTAGGGACATACCTGTACATTTAGGTATTCAAACCCTGTTCTCCTGATGAAGCTCATCAAAGTGATGTGACTTATCAGCACAGTTGTGATATAATTCATAAGAATACAGCTCAAACTATATTGATGAAGACAGAGTCCCCTCTATCATAAATGTCTATTGTGATTGGATTTCACCCACGATTCTTCAAGGTCAAAAGTGAAGTACACATTTCTGACTGATGGTTCTGTGTTGCAGGTGGACTATTCCATAATTGTGTCGCAAGCCGGGGCCACCCTCAACAATCTCATGAGTCACGCGCAGGAGTTAGTGGCAAAGCTTCGTTCTCTGCAGTTTGATCAACGAGAGTTTGTGTGTCTGAAATTCTTGGTGCTCTTTAGTTTAGGTAAGGAATCTTTTTCTCATACTCCCTATGTTCAAAGGTTACAAAATGATGGCAAACTTGGAATGTCTGGAAGTCGATGTGTATTTACGTGTGATCAAGATAATGCCCCTCTTTTCAAGTTATGAAATCTTCCAACATGAGGGATGTTTCATTATGTCATTCTGCACGATTCACGCCCTTCGGCTGTGGAATGGAACGGGCAATGTTAGATGAGCCCAGAACATTCCTGTTGGGGCAGAATCTGAGGACAGCAGGAAGGGCCACGCTCTCCAATTTTAACTACCTTTCTGCTGTTATTGTTTCTGGGTGTCTTTTGTTTCAGCTGCTGCTTGTATTCCTGTAGAATGTGGATAGTAATTAAAAACTTGTTTCTTAACTCTATCAGGAATAAGGAGAAAGTGCTTATAAGCAGATGCACCACTCTGCAAGTATAAAAGATTGCCATTGTCAGGGGAAAGGATGCTTCTTTAGGAAAGCTTTGGAGAAGAAAGATAACTAAGCAAGACAGATTAGCTAAATCAAGGTTCTCAGTGAGTCAGTTGAGAAAAATCACCACTGCTTGGAATAAAAAAAGGATTAAGGAGATGGATTTTTATTGACTTCAAAGGAACAGATTTTTCTGCCTGTCCCATCCCTGATTTCTGTATTTTGTTGGCTTAATAAAGCCAACTTAAATAAACTTTTTGCCAAGTCCATTTATTACTTATTGGCAGACAGCTGAGGAGGCAACTTCCCTTGAATGAAAAGAGTGCAGAAATCAGATTTACCAACATGTGTTTTTTCTTTAGTCTTCAGTTGTAAGATAGTTGTGAATTCATATCCTAAGAAATAAAACAAACTGCAAAGTAAAACAGATGTGTCTACTCTCCAAATGTGGTACATTCGTTTGAAAATTCTTCCTGACAGCACCACACAACTGTTGCTAATAAAGGGATAGTTTGAAGTAATAGAACCAGAGTTAATTTTTCACATGTAGTCAACATTTAAAACAAAAAGAACTTTTTCATATTTTGGAAAATGTGATAAACAGGGCAGAAAGAAGTGTAACTGAAAATGTAAAAAGACAACAGAATTTCATAGATGTAGTGTTCAAAGGTTTACAGTGCCAGGGCTCTAATCACAATAAATAAGAAAGTTCTATTCAAGTCAGTCTCCATCTTTTACCCAAGAACAGTTTTTAGAAAATCAAGAGCAGGAGAACATCAACCTACTCCCTGTGACCTCACAAATTATTCTGGTTAATGGCAAGATCTTACTTTGCAACCAGTACATCTAATAAGTAGTTAAATTAAAAAAATGCAGTAATATATATGTGAGGAATCTTACAGTGTCTTGGTGACAGAATATTTAAAGAGACTCATCTCACTTCAATGCTATTTTAAATTTGCTGAATAACTGGACTACATTTGTAAACATCAGACATAAACCACCAGTCATGTTGACTTCCCACCACTTTTATCTTTCCTTCAAAGTGTTATATTTAAATTCTCTGCCAGTACTATGGGGGTGGGGTGGGATTCTGATGTGCTTTCAACCTTGGAACCTCACAAATGATCCTCCTGAAAACGCAAGTCATATTTATGAAAACCTCAGGCACACACTCTCTTGTTTAGCGAGTGCACAGACTGGGTCCTCAGCACCAGTGACTGATAAGCCCTCAAAACGATGCCTACTGTTTAACGAAAAGAAAAGTATGACTTTCCAGAGGTAAACAGACTCAGAGATGGGGAAACAGAATTTCTCTTCTTTTTCCTTCAAAATAACCCTGGTTTACAACATTGCTCACGTTTCAAAGGTACAGGCTCTCCTCTCTCGGGTATGGTCACCCATTCACGCACCACCCAAGTCCCCTTCGTCTTCACCACAGCCCCTTGGGCTCTATCTATCTTTGTTCCTGTTTGCTCCTCTCCCACCCAGCCTGGTAGCCTCCGTTCTATAAGAGCTGATTTCAAAGAAGCAATGTTACTGGCCATAAAGTTGAGGAAGTTATTAATTTATGAGTGGAGAAGAATAAATAGTTAATAACAATGTAATAAATGAAAACAATTAAAAAGCTTATGGAGAGGCAACTTTATTGAGTAGGTGGATAATTCACCTGTAAGTACCAAAACACCTGCTTTGCCTGAGATGGGTGTGGCATCTGGACCAGCCCCCCCCAGAAGCCAACTCTTTTATTGTGGGAGTCTGGAATTGAACCTGTGGTATCTGACGTTTGTCTATAGAGTCCAGATACTGATGATCAGTAATTAATTACATCTATTATTCTATTTGCAAAGGAGGACATTTCCTTCCGATTGATTGTACCAAAAATGCCAAATTCCTTTAGTAGCATTAATTCTCTAGCTTTGTGCTTGTGTTTTTCAAATGAATTTTTCCAGTTCCTATTACATTTTTTAACCTCAAAGTTGGAAGGAGAAACATTCTTTTGTTTATGAATGCCATAAATATTTATTGAAAGTCTACTAGCTCAGGTGGTATAGTAGAAGCAAACCAGATATAGCTCCATAAAATTTGCCATCCCCCATCCTCATGAGCCTGCAGACCCCAGATGCCTAAAGTCTAGTATATTCTGAACCTCGCCTAAGCTTAAGCCAATTTGATCATGGAGAAAATGGAGGGTTTTATGGACTGATCCAAAGGTAGAGGCTATATTGAGAGACATTTGCAGCAGCATCCCTGATTGCTGGTGAGAGATGAAAGTGTTTTTGGATTGTTTGGGTGAAAGGAGTGTGTGAGTCCTGGGCAGGTGCCATACAAAGACATGAGGGCAAGAGAGACAAAGTGAGTTTGGGGACTACTGAGGGGTCACCATGGCTGGACAAGCAACATATTTGTGGCTGGAGAGGTAGCAAGTGCCTGGTTGTGGAGGTCTCAGAGACATTCAGCCAATCCTAAGCACATCCTGTGTCAGGCAGCGAGCTAGGTGGTCCCTGGGGAGTCAGTGGACAGTAGGAGGCAATGGGAAGAGAAGCAGAGTCGGATGTTGTAGGAAGGAGGTGCTGGGTTCCTTAGTTGATTTGCCTTCTGGTAGCGATGTGGAGGAAAGAGCTGGAAACTCTGCCCTCTGCCCAGGGTGGACTTGACACTCCTTGGGGATACAATGAGATGAGGGACAGGAGGCAAGCCACACGATATGACAGAGTCCAGGGAAGTTTCGGCGGAGTCAGGTTCCAGGGTGCTTTAGCCAGAAGAGATCTAGGGATCGGGTCCTAGAAGATGCGTTGAGTAAAAGCAAGTTGAGCAACCTTTCCTTCTAAAGGCCGTTTTCATTAAAGCTGGTCCTGATTCCACGAAATGCTGAGGCCAAGAGTATGGGTCACTTTAAATTTTCCAGTCTCCTGCCTATGTTTTTCCTCTTCAAATTGTATCCATGAGCAGACATCAATCGGTTAAGCTGATCAGAAACAAAAAGTAAAAGTAATGTCCTCTCTTAGGTTATTTTCTCTGTGTAATTGACTCTGGCAATCCTGTTTCGGTCAGCTGTTAAAAAATAGTTTTTAAAAATCCTGTTAAATTGCCTCTTTTAAGTTTTTCCTTAGGAGAGAACATAATTTGAAACCATTGCTAACCTTGCAGGAAAGAAGATATTCTAAGTTCACCACTTAAAATTGATGATCGAGAGAGGCCATGATAAAATGTCTAATCTTTATTGGCTTATATTCCTACAATATAAACCTACATTCTAAAAAAAGAATCCAAGTGACAGATAAAGGGAATATATCTCAGAGAGGAGTAAGTGGAGGATCACGATCCCCAAATAATATAACTGTCGCGTGTGTTTCAATGGCCAGTAGGTCTCCCACGAATGCATCTCCTGGTGACCAGTGCTGACCCGGGTCCAGTCACCTGGTTTTGCACTGCAGCATCCTCACTCTGTCATTCAACACATGTTCAAGCAGATCAGGAATATTAATGGAGCTTAAGTGCTCCACGCAACAGTGACCTGGATGAGCCAACTAAGCTGTTACTTCGAGTTTTGGAGTTTTCTTACCTGGAGACTTAATGGCTGGCGCTCCTGAACTCTCATATCCCAGGTGGCAAGAGAAAGTACATGAAGCATAGTGCATCCTATTTCTCCTAATGAATGCCCTTGATTTGATGTAAATCATTCTCTTCTCTGGCCAGCCAGTATTTCAAAGCAAGATTGTTTATCTTTTGGAGGGTATTTTCCCAGCCTGAAAAAAGTAGCTACTGTTTGCTTCAGGTTTCTTTAAGTTTAGGCTCTCTAAGCCCACTGAAATGGTAGGAGATTCTGTTCTGCACTACTTCTGTTCTGTATTTTTGTGCAACAGAATTCAAGGCTCTATAGCAAATCTCATTTGGGTTTTAAGTTGTCCTTTCTTATTGTCTGTATTCCAGGTTTCTGGCACACTGCTTGGTACACATAGAGACTTATAAAAAGTTTCTGATAAAATAGATGCATATGTGGAAATATGGAGTTTTAAGTTCAGGGAAAACCCTTTACCATGAAGTAGTTTGTGATATGCAATAGGAGACAGTTTGGTTTAAAAACAAACAAACAAACAAAAAAGGCCATCTCAGTGCAATTAGTTTTCTGAGACTAATTTTTCTAAAGAAATACCAGATATTTATCACCTCAAAGTTAAATTATTTCCCTTGTCAATTTTTATTCTCCCCATTTCTGAAGAGAGCTACTCTATTGATAAGCTCTTTGGGAAAACTAGCTTACAGAAAGATTAAAAAGAATATGAACGGCTTAAAGCCCGGTGATAAGATGCCTGTCTGCTCCAAGTAAGCGCAGGATCATAGACGTTCAGTCCGCGTTGACTCAGTAGTTGAGGGATGTTAGTATGACTAACCCCTTGACATTGACAGAAACCTGCTTAAATAAGATGGATGAATAGATCGTATCTTGATTCATCATGGGAATTCTTGGCTTTGCACCGGATTTCCAAATTTCACTGTGTTTGGTCACATCATCAGCCCAGGGAAGATTCATTCTCATGGAAGCAAACCCTGGTGACGCAGAAGTGGTCACC